TTTGTATATTCAGAGATTCTGGAATTTTTATTGAAGTAAAAGGGGTAGATGCCCTTTTATAATTTTGAACCTGTTGTTAATATGAGAATAATGAAGCGTTAACAACGCGATTTTTTAAAGTGTTGTCATCGTGCTGAGAACAATGCAATTTTGAAACTGTTGGCTTTCTATAGGATGGAGTATTTTTGTCTGTTTAAACTTGAAACACTACAGTCAAGATGGTGTTTATGTGGAATTTATTAAGTGTTTTTGCAGAAACAACATATCAGACACACATTATATGTCTCTGTATGTGTCTATGTATCTGGGGGGGATCTTTCTGCAAGCATCAACTGTTCCTTAATAAATGTATTCAGTCTTTACCACAATCATTAGCATACTACCGTGGTGCTACTTATGCACAGTGGTGAGCAATGGAAAATGTGTCATTTGAACATTTTGACACAGGAAGTTGCTGTGTTCTTAAGATCAAAATTAGTGTTGTTAATGTATTTGCTTCCCCTTTTCTCTCTGTTCCAAACCTCGTTCCTCTTTAGATGTCTAATCAAAGAAGGGTCAGGTTTCTTTGGACAGTTTTGACTTCTATTTACAACTCTCTGGTGCAATCCCTCCAATTAATTAACAGACATGGCTCCCTAGCTGTCATATTTTTACTGATACAGTTAGCGATAACACTGAAAATAGAAATATTGAATATGTATAACATGTGGTTTATTAAACCTATGCTTACATTTCAATACAATAACAATAGCACTTGAAGTTGATGGGTCACATTGCCGGGACTTTCTGGTCTGAACAGTCCACCATCACTGTAAGCTGCTTCCTCAATAGTTCCCTCACACCCGGGCTCAAGCTGAAATGAGTTGTGTCATCCTGATACACACAAATTAGTGACTAAACCTGAAGAGCACCAAAAGAGCACAGCCTGTGTGACAAAAAAAGGCTTTATCATCTATCAAACCTAAATGATTGTAGTAAAATGGATGCCAAGTTGGTAAAAGAATGCAATTTCTCATAGATTTATCTTTCATATCCGCAACAAGGGGGAAAATGCTGATGTTGGCATGAAAACAAAGACATTGACTACGCTGACAGTTTCAGTTCTGTGCATTTGTTACTTGTGTCAACTGTCCACACCACATCATCCTTAAAAATAGATCTTTCATGTCAGCGGGATCCACATAAATAAAATGTATATTAATGTTATGTCAATTAAAATCAATTCAGTACTTTCAACATGACCTCTTGCTCCATACCACCAGCCTGTGCTAGTTTGACAATAATGATGTCATGTCCAATGGTGGAAATCCCAAGTCTATATCATCACCTACCAGTGGAAGAGGAAGTATTCAGATCCTTTACTTAAGTTAAAGTACTAATAACAAACTGTAAAAATACTCCATTACAAGTGAAAGTTAAAAAATGTTAGCTTAACGTTTTAAACTGGTTATGAAACAATTCTCTATATGATCTACATAAGCAAACAAGACCATCAGAGAGAAGATTGGCTATTTCTGTAGGCTGACACTGGGTTGGATTCCTCACAATTACTCAATGACACCTTTACAATGCTTCTTTTGTCCAACCAACAGTCTAACCCTCTAAATTATTACAAATGCATTTAAATTATTACAATCATCCAAGTAAAAGCAGCAAAGCTTCACATTTACAATGAAATGCTTTTACATACACAAAATATTATCATTATAGTTCAAAATAGTTTAATCAACTAATTGTTTAATTGACTTATTATTTCAGCTGTACTTATGCTAGTAGTTTATTTCATCATCATCATTTCATGAACTCTACATTTGTTTTGTATGCAAAAAATCTTATCTTAAAATCTGTAAAGTTACTAATACTGTCAATTCTAATGAATTAAAAGATACAAATTTCCCCCTGAAATGTAGTGGAGTCATATAAACAGGCATGAAAAGAAAATACTCAAGTAAAATATAACTAGCCAGTGTTTTGCTAACATTAGATATGTGAAGTAAGTAAGTGTTTGAAAATGCTGAACTATTGCTTTAAAGCTGGAGTACAGGACTTTTCCGCATAAATGTTAACGCCTTTTACATTCACGCCAAATCCAAACGTCTTTCCACAGTGACTTTTTAAATCTGGAATCAGTATCAAGTATTGATGAGTTTTAAGTCAACCAGCAATGCCTAGTCTGTCCTGAGAGTGATTTATTAGTTTGCTAACCCCAGGCAACAAGCCAGAAAGTCTGTATTTCATATGTTCTGGAGCCACCATCAAACTATGACCGGAGTTGTCAAAGAATCACTAAGCTGTTCTATCAGATGCAAGAGGCCTCACTTCAGTTTATTTTTGTTTGCTTCCTTGTCTCATTCAATGTAAGTTGAACTGTGGATTTTGCATTGAGCACTGAACACTGTGGTGGACTTCAAATTCTTGTGTGTATAGCTCTTACTGACAGAGGGGGAGACAAAAGCTCCACACTGCAGCTGTAAGACTATGTAACTTTTTGTATCGCTGGCTGCTGTGGTCGCAAGAGGTAATTACAAGTTATACAAGATGGCCAACGGTGTAAGAAAATATAAAAAAGTATTGTATCGCAATATTTTGTTTTGTGATATTGTTTCAATTCTCAAAAACACTGTAATGATTTTGTGATTGATTCCCCAAACGCTAGATAGTAGTGTTGTGACTTTTTGCTCAGATTTTGTATATATCATGGATAGTTTTCCTAAAATAAGATATAAAAATATATATAATAATAATAATAATAATATAAAAAATACAAATATGTCACCTTGCTTACAGTATCACAATATATTGAATCCTAACCCCTGTATCATGATACGTATCATACCGCCAGACTTATGCCAATACACTGCCCTAAAGATGACACATTGATTTGCCTCTTTCGCAAAATGTATTATTAGTATTGCGATATTTTTCTTTTGTGATATTGTATCGATTCTCAAAAGCACTGTATCGATTTTTGTGATTGAACCCCTAACTGCTGTATAGCAGTGTTGTGAATGTAAACTGAGGGCTATGATGTTGGATGTTACAGGGACAAAAAACACACTATATGGCAATATATTGTATCGTATCGCCAGACTCTTGCCAATACACAGCCCTATTAAAGACAACATCATGTTTATCTGCTACATACTAAAATGAAAAAGAGTAATAAAGTCAGTAAACGTAGTCAGTGATGTGAGTTGCACTGCATCTATCTAAAGTTTGCTAACATGCTCCACCACAAGCTAATCATCAGATCAGACCAAGTGAGGCTGTGGCAGCAAAAATCCTCCTGAGCGAGGGCGTGTTTTATGAATTCAACCTCTCATTTGAAAGAGGATGTGTGTTATTTCGTATTTCAAAAGTTACACGTTCAAAAATAAGCACTGTACTATTAAAGAACACTGGTCTAAAAGGGGACGGCAGTTCTGGTCAGCCGCATGTAAGAGCATTGTGTAACATCACAGCACCTTTTAGAACAGTAGTGTTTTAGAACAGCACCTCTCAGCCTTGGTCTCTATTTGTGATCAAAGTGACAGAGAGCACATGCAGCATGTATGTATATAGGTACATATTGTATGTTCAAGTATATCTTGACTGCTCCAAACGTTGCTGTCACTGTTATCACAGTGTAACTGTAAGGTAAGCGTCTGTATAAAGGCCCGGTTCAGGTTTATCAAATCATATCATACCATGCAAATGAGCACCACAGCCAATATCAGGGGTGTGTAGTCATAAATCTACAAGACCATGATACAGGCAGCCATATTCTGCACACGCTCACAGGATGCTTTTTAATTTAGCTCACAACAAGATACGAGGGCATGAACATGAAAGACTTTACAGGTGGACACCATGTCCACCTGTACCTGTAACAGTAAGCAGCTACCTGGCAGTTCAACTGCCCTGAGTCCATTAATTTTCCTATCACCAAACTAGTTTAGGACACTAACACATTCTATAAGAGCAGAGACTCTCCACAGGCAGAAGACTGGAATAATTCATGTGTGCTCTGTTATGTTTCCTCCTCAGATGTAAATTTTGTGGGCTGTTAAGGGCTGCCAGCCTATGTGTGTACCTGTTTGGAACCGCCTCGGGCCATAACAACATCACCTGCCAGTCTGGTACGCATCCAACAGGACGTTGGATGGAGAAAGAAAGAGAGAAAGAAAGAAAGAAAGAAAGAAAGAAAAAAGAAAGAAAAAAGAAAGAAAAGAACCTTACTGTTTCTGCTGGACAAAGCTTTTTTTTATGTAGAGCTGTGCTGTATAGGTCATAGGTGTATAGGTCATCCAATGAATTTTGTTAGAAAGTAAGAAAGAAGGGAAGATAGAAAGAAAGACAGAAAAGGCTGAAACAATTAATTTGCCTGATTTAAAATCAATCCTCTATTGATAGTTTGATACTTGATTAACCATTGATGCAGTTTGAGGGGCAGGGTTGAAAAAACATAAAAAAGGGCGCCAACATGCACAAAGTTGCATTTATGGTGAAACAGCTTAGTCAGGGTCGGGATTAGCATGCTAAAGGGGACTTTGTCATGCTTTATTTACTAAGAGGTATCTAAGGGAGCACTTTTGCTGTGTTTTTTGAGTCCATCAGTGCATTTATGTCAACCATCAAGAATAAATCTGTGGTTCCAGCTTCTCAGAATGTAATTGCTGGACAAAACAAGAAATTTGAAAATGTTATCTTGTCCCCTTGGAAATGTTAATGGGCAGCTTTAATATTATCTGACATTGTATTGTATAGACCCAGGAGCATGTCCAGAGGCCCTTATCCTTACGTCTTCCACTCTGCACTGTCTTGTAGAAGCTGTAGCTGGCGGTTTAAAGCTAGAACGAAGATACTGGTATCATATGAAACTAAATGACGCATCCATTGGTACTATGTCATGCTAGCATGTTGAGAACAGGGCTAACTAACGCTTCAAAGTTAGGCTAAATTTTGGCAATGAAAAACTGGCATGGCCATTTTCCCTTGACCTCTGACCTCAAGATATGTAAATGAAAATAGGTTATATGGGTACCCACAAGTCTCCCCTTTGCGGACATGCCCACTTTATGCTAGTACCATACAGTTTTTGGGCAGTTTTTTTGCATGTAGTATGAATGTGTTATTTGAATATTTCTGGATACTGGGAGTGATGGAATTGCATGAATTGGGAATGATGGAAAGTTTGGACACATACTTCATGGCACCCCTGAATAAGTCAGTGGCCCTTTTCTACTAACCCAGTCAAAAAAAAAGTCTAGATATGCTCCTGCATAGACCAAACAGTCATGTGCCAAGACACATAAAGTATGTTCATATTTCATATGTCATATTTTTTTGATTGGATTTAAACTATCATTCTAGAGTTTTGTTTCTCAAGACGGAAGTTAGTTTTGACTTGCAAAATTCAAATTCTGCTTCTCTGTCAAAGCAAGAAACACTCCAGCAACCAACCATGACTGTTGTGTCATACATTTTGGGTTGCATTAACCCTTTACTTTTCTATTTGCAACATCTGGGACAAAAGCAGGATGATGTGGCTGATGCAGTGCTGATACCAGTTAAATGCTAGATGGGGATTTTAACAGGGCCTCCACCAGTATGATGTAATATCAGCATTTCTGCAATGTACATTACACAGCAATGTTTCCTATAGCCATTCTCTTTAGGTTTAGAGCACACACATCTACAGTGTGTCTGTCTGTGACTTTAAGGCTGTTCAACATGTGAAATTCACTGTAATAAATGTCTGTAGATTTTATGGTGAAAGATGTCAAACCATGACAGTAAAAACCCACAAGATTTTATTATTATTTCTAGTTGGTTTATATTATATATATTTATAAACAATTCAGTTTTGTTTGGTGCAAAATAATGGCAAAGGTGCCCACAAATGCATGCAAATGGTCGATAGGAACCGAACAGGTCATTTGTTGTTTGATTGCAGACAATAAAGGTGATAAGAAATTATGACATAAAAACTGCATTTTTTGTTAAGTAGTAGTAATGGGAACCTTTTTTTATATTATTTATTATTATTTGTAGGAACTGAATTCTGTGGGCCCAAGCCAATTTGAGTTTGAGTTGCTAGGTTAAAGTTCCTGTAACAGTAAAACACTGAAATATCTTATGGCAAAACCTTTATTTATATGGCATTTTAAAGGAAATTATATGGAATAAAGTAGTGGTTTTAAATCACAGAATGTAAATTGCACAGAAAACCACAGTCAAAGCATTCATATGGTATTTTTATATGGCAAAACTGTTTCTTTTGATAGTAAAAACTATACAGTAAAATGTGGATTAAAACAGACAATCAACAGCACTAATATCCTTTATACCAAAACAGTAGACAAAGTTCTACCACCAACCAGTTTTTTACTGTAAAATACGTTGGGTTTTTTTACAGTGTTGTGCGAAGTCAATGGAAGAAAACAGAACAGAAACTAGTCTGCTTTCTGGTTTCTGGTCTACATTGACGGTCTAAAAATAACTGAGACACACACACTCACACACACACACACACACACACACACAGAGTTGAATGAAGATTAAGCACTAAATAAAGAGAAATACTGGTGATAGCACTGTGTTTATATGTACTTTAGCCTATTCTCGGGTTCACATTATTTCTTGATCTTTGACTTCTGTAGGCGGTGGTTGTGAACTCAAACACCTCCAAGTTCCTCTTTTTGGAACTAAGAATCCCTGTCATAAAACTTCATTTGTGCATTATCAAAACATAACTTTCCTACTTTTCCCTAAACCTGTCAGAGACGTTAACTTCACATTATGTTTCTCTTACATCATCTTTCAGACGCTCTTCCAACACAAGCAAACACAGACCAAGAGGACACTTACCGCGCTTCAATCACTTGGACTATTATCTCTACGGGTGTATGTGATCTTCTAGACTCGGGTAGCCGTATAAAGAATATTCCTCATGTCTTTTATGGAGGTCCCATCCCTTTACAGTGGCCTTCTTGCTCCGGGTTGGGTTGTAGATGCGGACGGGGCGGCGGAGCTCAGCATACTGGACTCGTACGAGGAAGTTTGAGCTGTGCGCATCTAACCGAGCTGGTGGAAAGAGGAACAAGCTCACAGCGATCGTACTCTTGGTTTCACTGGCTGAAATAGCCCAGTGTCGCTTTTTTCAGATGCAGCGACACCCTGATGGAAAAAGATTAAATAAGACATTACTTTGCGTCAAAACGCAGAATAAAAGTGAAAGATGTGGATGTTTTAAACATTTATTGTGTAATAGGTGAAGATGACAGTCGGTTAACCCACGTTTATTCAATGGTGTCTACTGTTGTATGCAATTATTAAACTTTGCTGGACCTAAGCCAAAACATGTATCAAAACATGTAATGAATCATCCTCATTGTGGTAACATGATAGATGGAGCAGCGGATGGATGGAAGCAGGGGCGGATCTAGAGAAATATAGGCTATATATGGGGTGGCATGGAAACTTTAATGTTAATATTTGCTTGGAAAAGCCCCCAAATGAAGATATTTGTACTCAAAATCCTTACATTATTGTAACACATTAGTAAAGCATTTTATTGAAATATATAAAGGTGGTATTAGAAATCAATACATCGTTTGAAATTTTTTCCAAATATGTCTGTTTTCATTGAACTTAACAGTTCCTTAAGGAAGTTTTCGTTATTTTCTGCGATTCAACCAATCCCTGTGAATTCTGTTTGTAATTTTGTCTTATCACTGCATCTTTTCCACAAAATTACTTGGAATACTCCCAACAGTGTGATTTTATTCTCAAGTTTAAATTAATTATATATATAAAAAAAACAGTTGCAACTATTTTTCAATTTTCATGTCTCCCCTAATTTTATTGCCATAAAAGAAAATTGATCTACAGTCTGCGTGCCACCCCTCTAGATCCGCCCCTGGATGGCGGGAAGAGTGGATAAGGCTGCCATGGATGGGTGTTGTGTGAAGGATTTATTTGCATGGTGGGCAGAACAGCTCTAGCATGTATTCAAATGATAGTTTGACAGCTATCATGCTCAGCACATCCTGTGGGGTGGAGGCAGGCGGCAGCAGAGGGGAGGCGTGGGCGGTTCAGCCCCAGGGCACAACATGTTGCGGCTCGGGCAATAACAAATCAGAAAAAAGCTCCAGGCTCTTCATCTGTAATCCTTAATCAACAGTCAGGATTAGAAACCAAGTTCCCTCTGATACCCAGCCTCGAGTGATGGAGAGGCGTAGGGAGGGGTTGTAGTGAGATGAGGATAAGATTTAAATGAAAAAAAAAAAAAGAAGAGAAAGGTAGTTTAAAAATTGGTGAAGGATAATACAAGCTAAAAACAAATCCCAGCAGGAGGGATACAGAGAGAGAATTGGTGTTCAGCAGCTGTTCACAGCTGCAGATGATCTGACTAACAATAAAGTAAAACCTCAAATGTATTCTCTGTATTACTGCGTAAGCTAAACTATAAGGTCTTAGTGAGTGTTAGCATTAAAATGTCTATAAAATCTAGCTCTATGTTCTATATGTAGTTGAGTTGATCAACTACATAGATTCTTACATTATCCCAAATGTTTCCAACAATGTTTAAACTCAGAGATCTGTCATTTTATTCAGGTAACGCTGCATTTCACCGGTCGCCTGTCAATGAGATAACTTCTGTTATGAATTGGCGCTATACAAATAACATTTAATTGAATTGAATTAAATTGTTTAAGACTATTGTGTTCAACTCAGGTCAGGACTGTCTCCATGTTGTGCAATATGTGGCTGCAGGCACAATGAGCCCTTTTCTCTGACTGACTGGCCTCAGTTTGTGGCTTTCTATATTCAAACTTCAGGGGGAAATGAGTTCCTCATTTACCATGGTGGAAGTAATTATTACTGCACACGTGGGTGACAGTCTAATCTGTTCACAGGTGTATTTTACCCTTACAGAGTTTGCACTTGCTTATGACCTGCTCAGTCTGTCACACTTTATGCAAAAGAAATATTAACAGAGAGAGAGAAAACTGAGTAAACATTGGTGGGACCAGTTTTCCCTGGATGATGGGACATGGTGTTATATTCCACTGTTTATCATAGTCCTGGCATGTTTTTTTCTTCGCTGACTTCCTGCATTTTGTTACTGTTTTACACAAATAGTATAATCGGTCACCCTGATGTTGACTGTATTGCTACAGCCTTGACTTTACATAATTGTAGTTGTGGTCAACTGATGTGGGTCTTTCAGTGGCCGATGGTGATACAGTTTTTGTTCTAATTTTGTCCATATTCAGTCAGCCGGACATGGATATCAGTTTTCCTATGGGTGTAATTCTTTTGACTCTGTTGGATAAATCATGCTATGTTTTTTGTATTATTATAAGATGAGATTTATTTTGTGAAGATTTATTTTGTGGATTACTTTATTAGGTTTATTGAATTAACATTAGTTATTTAATGGTAACTACATATATAACATATTTGTATTCTGTTCTGCAATGTAGATGAGGACATACACAAGCTGCACGTTACCTGTAATGTTACTGAAGGTTAAGATTGGCAAAGTGATATGATGTAAAGTAGTGTTCAGTTGTCCTACTGTTACATTAAAGTGGTTTGAGTAACCCGGGTGAAGTTGTCCTCGTGCTCTTGCTTTACCTACAACCCAAAGGTAGTTTTAATACAGTAACTATCAAGCTTATAATTAAGACTAAAGAGTTACTTAAAGACTAACAAGTGTTACATTTGGTAATTTTGTGTAATGTTATGTTTTGTTCCTTGCCCCCGTCGCCAAGTGC